TAATCTATTATATATATAAACTATATATATAAATATATATAAACTATATATATAATCTATATATGTAAATATATATAAAATATATATATATAATAGTTTATTTTTACATCATTTTGTGCCTTTTTCCATTTCAGTTGTAATCCCCATGGGCTTCCCATCACCAATTCACCCATTTGCCATCACCATAGTCCCATGCACTCCCCATCCCCCATTTTTTATCTCATTTCCCCACTCCACCCCTGTAAAATGTCTCTGGTATATAGTTGCTCATTATTTTTCCCCTGGGACATTTTTTTTTTACATTTAAAATTTATTTGTATGCACTGTAATGGAATAAACAGAAAATCTTACTTCAAAATAGCTAAAGCACTAAGGACACTTATTTTTTCTCTAAAGTTCTCAAATTCAGCATAGATTCCCCATATATATATATTGTTTAGCATTCAATAATATTATCAAAGACATAGATCATATTATTGTTCTAATTTTCTCACTGGGGACATTTTTTAAGGCTCCAAATCACTGTTTAAGATGGCAATGCCAGAATAAAAAGTCCTATGTAAAAAAACAAAAAGACATCAGATGTTTACTTTGTGCATATAAAAGGAACTTAGGGTAAACAGGGCAAGAGAATCCAGAAAGAAGGTGAGTTTGCCACCTGATCATCAAACTCATCCCTTTTATTTCCTAATGACACAGCTAAACTATATTACTGTCCTCTCTTTTGATTAAATTCTAATCAAGAACTGTAAGAGGAAGTGATATAAGTCAGTTTCTGGACAGAGCCATAAAATTCTCTCAGATATGCTTCTCCAGGATCCCTCCCTTTTTGACCTGGCTGTTTAGGAAATGTCTCCAGGAATAACCTTAAAAGCTTGATGAATTAAAGGAGATGAATGGCTTCAAGAGCCATGTTGGCCTACAAGTGCAGTGTTTTTATGTTAAGATTTATTTAAAATCATATTTATAAGGTGATAGCCATTGAAGTTTAGTGCAAATTTACTTTCTGTAGGTTGATCTGGAATATTCTAACAACTACTTTCTTTTTAGCATATAATTTCTTACTAATGAATCCATAATAGTATTTAACATTAGATCTTACAATAGGAGAATTAAGAAACCATGCTTTACTTCTACCCCTTCAACAATTTTTACAATAAAAAATAAAAATTCTCATCACTTTCATGATGGGAAGTGATTTTGAAACCACCCACAGAACCAATTTCTCATTAGTGGATGCCAGTACAATTATCCACAAAACAATAGATTATGGTTGGAGGAAAGTGTAAACTCATATGTACATTAATATAGATACAGTTATAAAAAGAACTCTTTCTAGATACATATATACACAGATTATTATATCCCCACATTTTTCCTTGTTGTCAGCAGAGAGGGCATACAAATCTCAACAACAAAACAGTACATAGAGCACAGAGATCTTTGTTTCTAATACTATTCTTCAATAAAATGAACTAAGACCCCTTGAATAAATAGCTGCTTCTAGATTTAGGGGAGAAAAGATGTATGATGATATTGGAATTTCCTGTAATATATGAAATTATGGAACACTGTAAAATCACTCCCAAATAATGGGATATTTCAAAGAGATACAGAAGTCAATTGGAAATATTTTCTTAATCACCAAAGTTGGAACAATTTGAGTAGCAAAGTAAATGATGCAGATTTAAATTATAACCCTAAATAAAAGAACTATCTAGCTATATCCATGAGTACATACTGACATGGAGAATAGATAAGGAGAAATATTACCATGTGTAAGAATTATGCAAACTTCAGCTTAAGTGTAGGCTGCACACAGTGACTTTCTTCCCAAGAGGAGTGTAGGGCAAAAGGGGTGGGGGAGGAGCAGTTATGCCATGGAGACACCTGATAAACAGTACTTCAGGCAGGTCAAGGTTCACTGCAACAGTGATAAATCTTGTTGATAAAATGTACTCTGGATACGATATAATAAAAATGGTATTCCACCTCTGTGATCTTCCTCTCCTAAACTCTTAACTCCAGTCTGATCATGAGAAAAACATCAGTTCCCACCTAAGCGACATTTTACAAACTACACAACCAGTAATTCTTGAAAGTGTCAAGGTCATCAAAAACAAGAGAAGTCCGCAAATCTCTCACAACCAAAAGGAACCTAAGGTGACATGATGACTGAACAGGATGTAGTATCCTCGATGGGAATTTGGAACAAAAAAAAAGGATATTAGTAAAAACCAAGATAATCTAAATAAAGCATGGGCTCTTGCATATGGATGCATCCATATTGGCTCACAAATTGTAACAACTGCATCATAATAACTGGGGACCAGTGCGGTGTAGAAGTACATTCTATGTACTGTCTTCCCAACTGGCCTATAACTTAAAATCTTCTGAAGTTGTTTTTATTTGAAAATTTCCTCATCATAACAACATCTAGCAATACAAAGAAAATCTTAATGAAGATTTCATTGTTGTTTGCTGTTACTTTTTTCAAAATGATTTCATACAGTAATTTTTTCACTTAAAACTTAGTGAATGTATTTTCATATCCTCATAGTTCTACAGCATAGTTTCTATATAGATCACAGTAGTTTATCTTAGTGATGGATCTGTCATTATTTAGTGAATTATCTCTTGGCATCTTTATTTTCCTCTAATTCCACTGGATTTATTGGAGAGGGAGGTATAAGAAATGGAGACTAGTAACAGAGAAAAAGTAATCTGTATAAATAACTGTATATAGCCTTGAAGCAACTTATTCCTAGGGTGTTTATTTACAGAGTGGAATAGAGAATTTATTCAATACCATCTATTCCTAAAATCATTTATTCTATATTTTGCAAGAGATAGAGAGACTATTTCTTAGGATTATCATGTGGAGATATGACCAAGTATACTTAGTATAATGAGGATGTAGAAAATGGATGATACATACATTCTTTCTTTGCTATATAGCCAAAACTTCATATCATGTGGCATGAGTGCATTACATTAGAGGAAATGACATAAAGATCTGACAGTTGGATACAAAAAGAATTCTAATTTCAAGGAGCTGCTTTTTAGTTAAACACAGAAAATGTGACTGTTTAAGAAAACTGAGTTTCCTAGAAAAATAAATGTGTTTTAGATCTAGAGAAATTTGTAGTATAAACTGAATAGAGAAACATCAGGAATATTATAGAAAATACTCCTGCTCTCAATAGGAGCACAAACTGAATAGTCACCAGGGTCACTTAGACTTTCATACAGCAATACCCTTTTAAAAAGTATATAAGTGTGGGTGTATTATATCATTGTCGATTTAGTACAATGTTTGATTTATTCTATCTGGTGGTGTATTTCCCATAAAATTTCCACCAGCAAGTCACCCATGAACCATCACCATAATTCCTTATGCTCTTCCTGCCCCCCTTTTATTTTAGCCCACTCCCTCCTCCTCCCCTGCAGAATGTCTCTGATTTATAGTTGCCTACTAGTTTTTTTTTTTTAATTTATTATTATTTTTTTTTCCTGGCCCCTTATTTGGCTCCCCTATATTCTTCCTAGAAGTGAAACCATCCAATGTTTTTCTTTTCCTTTTGACTTCACTGAGCCAGCAACACCCTTTAGATTATTGCCTTAAGCATTGGCCCTGTTTCTGAACTGTGCTGAATGTTCAGTCTCTTAACTGAAGAATCGATTGGACTAGCAGAAATAAAATGCATCTAATGGAGAATGAGTCCTTCAGCTTGTTTGTATGCATAGATGTGTACATCTCTAAACATATGATGGAGAATGGGCCCTTTCAACATTTTGAAGAAAACCGTGAATGAATCATCTCTTGAAACTCAATCTCTCTGAAGTCAATGCAAAAAGAACAGAAAACTTTGGAAAGCATGTCTTCAGTTCACAACCAAACTACTTGTCCTCAAGACTTCTTCATAAGCCTTCCAAAACATGAACCTGTGTATCACCAACGGGTCAAAAGTAAAACACCTGCACATTGAGTTTTTTGAATCTCCTCTGATCTGCAAGTGAGAGATCATCTTCACACTTTCAGCTACTGATGGGGGCGGGGTCTGTGGAAGTTAGCTGTTGGGGTTTTTTTGTTCCTGTAGAAACCAGTGAGTGAGGAGCTTCATTGTTTTACACTGCATGTGACTTCAGTGTGTTTTACCGGCTCATTCAGTCAGTGATGGGTGTCCCAAAGTGTTTGTTTTTGGAATTCCATTCATAGGAGAAAATCAGCTACTTTTTAGTTCACATCATCATCTTAGAATAAGTCACATCCAGAAACAGTGCTGGGTGGATACAAAGGGAAAAATGGGGGAGGGGAGTTTAAAAACCAGTTTTAAGAACTTTTTGTTTTAAACTTCAAAAGTACAGAAAGTGAATTTGGTATTTTATGGAAACCACCTATTGCCTGTAGGTACTTTCTTTCAAAACACACACACACACACACACACACACACACACACACAACCACAGGCAACAACTACTGGCAAAAGACTCCTCCAATCAGGAGAACAAGAAAGGGATCCCTGGAGCCCCAACACACTACCAGTAAATGGGGTCTCCTAATACTAGGTCGCAGTCTGTGCAGTGACAGCGTGGAAGGTGTTGCAAGAAAATCCCTTGCTTGCTTTGTGGTATGTTAAAAATGCAGCATCATCCTCTCTGCTTTTATTTGGCAAAAACCAGAATTTCAGGACCCCGGAAAATCCAAGGGGCAAAATAACTGCCTGCCTCGAGGAGCTGGAGCTCCCTCCCTTCACACCCCCTCCCCCTTCTTGGGCTCTAATTGCCTCAGCTCCAATGGGCCAGCAGCGCTCTGCTCTCACCGGTTTCCTCTTCCATTCACTCCAGCGGGGAGGGACGAGGGAAAACAAAACTCTAAAAATAACTGTGAGCATCTTAAAAAAAGAAAAGCTTAGCTGCCCCCCCTGCCCCCCCCTTCCCGCCTCGAGCTCCCGCCCTTCTCCCTCCTCTGCCCCCTCCTCCCCCCGCCGCCTTGTGGGGCACATGTCTGCTTCTTACAACACCGAGGCACATGGTTCCAGTTAGGCACCGAACCCCACCAGGACAGAGAGGAAATCCACATCTGTGGGACGCTCCGCACGGAACCACCTCCAGCGAGGGAGGCCGGGGGACTGCAGCACCGAGATGAAGGGCCAGACTGAGTGAACGCTGCTCATGCGGTGAGAGGGCGCGCGGGAGGCGGCGAGGGCGCGGGGAGGCCCGAGGGGGTGGGCCCCGTGGAGCCCCCGCAGCGCCCGCCGCCCGCCCCCACGCGCGCTGTGGATATTTGCCCGCCTTGCTGCAACTTGCTGCAGTGTTTGAAAGAGTAGTAGGAGCGCATGGAGGTGGGGCGGGGGAAAGACCCGGCGGAGAGGTTGGGGGTGAGCACCGAGGGCGTGGGGGAGCGGCACGGGTGGGAAGGGGGGCTGCCCCGGAGGGGGTGGGTTGGGGAGAGGGGGTCGCCCGGCGCTTACACATGTCACATGTGCTTTTTAAGACGGCCGGGAGCGCCTGCAAGCTGGATCTGGTGGAGGATGCTGCGGCAGGTGCTTCGCAGAGGGCTCCAGTCGTTCTGCCACAGGCTGGGCTTGTGCGTGAGCCGGCACCCGGTCTTTTTCCTCACCGTGCCCGCAGTCCTGACCATCACCTTCGGCCTCAGCGCGCTCAACCGCTTCCAGCCCGAGGGCGACCTGGAGCGCCTGATCGCTCCCAGCCACAGCCTGGCCAAGATCGAGCGCAGCCTGGCCAGCAGCCTGTTCCCCCTGGACCAGTCCAAAAGCCAGCTCTATTCGGACTTACACACCCCTGGGAGGTATGGCAGGGTGATCCTCCTCTCCCCACCCGGGGACAATATTTTGCTCCAGGCTGAGGGGATCCTGCAGACCCACCGTGCCGTGCTGGAAATGAAGGTGAACCACAAGGGCTATAATTATACTTTTTCCCATCTGTGTGTGTTGAGAAATCAGGATAAGAAATGCGTGCTGGATGATATTATTTCAGTGCTAGAGGATCTCAGGCAGGCTGCCGTCTCCAATAAGACAACAGCCAGGGTGCAAGTGAGGTATCCCAACACTAAATTAAAGGTATGCTCCTCCTGCATGCTTCTGCCAATTAAAGAGGCAGCACTTCATTTCTTGCCCTAAACAAGCAAAGAAAATGCAGAGGTCTCATCCTTAAGATTCAGAAGCTGATGCTTCTTTCATTTTGGGGGGTAAAAGATGGGCAACTAAGTGAAGAAAAACAGGCAATCAATGGTACGACTAGATATTAAGAAATTCAAAGCCAAAAACAAACAAAAAATGAAAACAAAAATGAAAACAAAAAAAAATGGAAAAAGTTGCTTCTGAGACCCTGCAATTACATCTTTGTTCAGGGTTAATAAATCAGTGATGGAAGGGGGGAGGGGGAATCCTGAACAATTTGGGGGATTTCTTTTCATAACGGGGCTCGATGTATTTCTTATTACTGATTACACATCCACCTGGTGCCATATCCACCTATTTACATCTTCAGCCTGGCTTGATTTTGACATGGAAGGAAGGAGTTTGTGTTTTGGTTCAAGAATGTGAGTATGTGTCTGAAAGCAGTGAGTATGAATGTAGTAGGAATTCCAGGAATTGTCTGTGTGTTTGCATAGCAAAAGAAGCAGAAATTTTCTATGTGTGAAAGTGGGAATGAGTAGCTAAGTGATGTACTAGTTTACTGAATTCTTTTATATTCCTTTCCCTCAAAAATATCCAAACTAATGCAGATTTATTTTAACAACTCAATAGCAAAAAAAAAAAAAAAGACAACAGTCCACAGTCAGCAAAAATCTCAAAGAATGATTATTTCAGCATTAAATATATTGTGTTGTCTAAATTCTCAATTCAAATTTTGTTGTTCAAATGAGATTTTTAAACTCATTTTACACAGTCAGGGTTGAACTGCTGCAGGCAATGAGGCATGCATTCTCCAGGTGACTGAAGTTTGAGGGACAAATGTGACTTCCCAAAGAGTCACTGCACCATTTGTATGCTCGATCCTGTGCATGCTCAGAAGCTGTAGAGTCAATAACTCCCTAGACAGGTGTTTCCTAAGAAGAGGAATTTTCTTTCTTCCAATGTATATGAGGCTGTGTGTGTGTGTGTGTGTGTGTGTGTGGACTTCCATGATGATGATAGATCAGAAAGGACCTGGGTTTCAACAAATGGATGGCTGAATAGATGAAATCATTAATACTTGTATTTATTTATTTGACGTAGTCAACATCTATACCCAATTAAAAAAATAACTTTCACACTTTTCTGAGCCAAAAAGCCTTCTTTTCCTAAATTGAATGAGGATTGAATGCATTTAGGAAACAGGGATTCCTAAGGGAACCTTATAACTTGTCTCCTTTTCACACTGCTGTCCTTGTTTAAATGTATCTGGAGGTTGACAGGGTTTTGGATTTACAAAGCTGAGCAACCCCTTGAGGTTGTGTGAAACTAGACAGATGATTCATCAGCTTGAAATCTAGGTAAGGGCTTGCCTGCTTCACAGTTATTGAAGGACTCATGATGAATCTTTGTGGATGGGCTCATGCATTTAGTTTCTTGACTCCTTTGCTGTCAACACTGTTACTTGTTAAGGAGAAGGATGTGGTGAAGTGATCTTAGCCTACTTTCTGAGGGCTTTTGACTGAGTTCTTCCCTAGGCCAAACATCTGGCATAAAGATCTGCAACTGTGTAATTTAATTTTCATTTTGTATACCCGGCTGAGGCCTGCTTGCAGTTCCTTAACACACATTTTTAGTTGTGTCCCTTATTTCCTTACTCAGCAGAATTCTCCATGTACAAAAACTTTGTCCAATTAGCCACTGTGGACATTTTGTTTATTTTGCAATATCTTATCACATTTTCAGTACTGGCCCCTGTGTTCTTTAGTCCATCCATTTAATCATTGGTTGAGTTCCTGTGACATACTAGGTACTCTTCTAAGATACACATAATAGAGTTTGGCACAAGAAAAGCAAAGTTCTGACTCTCATGGGTCTTAAAAATAGTACATGTCAGTGTCCCTAATGAGAGGTGTCTGCAAGCAGGGAGTTTGTAATCTTTGGACCCACCACTGAGCCAACACTAGTCCAGGTCTAGAATAGGTGCTTTGTCTAAATTAGTGTTTGTCTGATTGGTTGATCTACACCATTGTAGGAGTTAGTGAATAACCGTAAATGAATGAAGTAACTGACTACAAAGGCCAATGAAGTAACCAAAATACATGTAAGGAACAGGTGTGTTATACAAATGGCTCTATTAATTATAAAGCCCTTCTTCTGCTAGATCTAATCAGTATCTCTTCACACGTATTGACTTGCCCCAGTATGGCATCAGTGGAGGATCCTAAAACTATGTCTTCTGAGAGCAATGGACCCTCACAAGCCTCTATATGTAATGTAGTCTTATACATGCTAGTATAATACAAAATAGAATTTGTGGGTTACTAGGGACTTCTAGAATCCTATCAAAGGATGTCCAAGGACTTCCAGGTTAACAACTCCCTGGCACAAAACAGAGTGATTATTTGGCCTTTATTGGTTATGTTGAAATAATTTTAGTTTCTGTGTGGCAGTAGTTCTCAAGAGTGGTCCTATGATGTCGATGCATGCTATTATCTGAGAATTTCAGTTATATGAGATTAGACAGAAATTTTATATGTACATATTTTGGCCTCTGATTTCATTTTGCATTCTTTGATCATACTTGGGTCACCACTTTTCCCACTGTTGGCCAATAGAAACAATTTGAGAGCTAGAAGGTGGTCTCGATGGGCAGAGAATCAAGAGTTAAGGAAGAAGTACAAAATAGATAGCGCTGGCTAGAGAATCTGAGCAGGAATTGATAATCTCTTGACATGAAAGTAGTGGGTGAGTGCTTATAAATAATGTGAAGATGTGTAAACACTGATTGACAGAAAAAAGTGTACAGAAACCTCAGTTATTACACTCAGAAGGGCATCTCAGTTTTGACACCCAAGTAGTTCTGAATACAGAAGGGTTTACAACTTCTGATAAATGATTATCTTGACAAGGTGATCCTACAAGCTGGGGCACAGGAAGTTGCCTGGTATGGAATTCCAAACAGAGGCTCTGAAAAAACTGGTATGAATTAGAAAATAAATGCAGTCAGTTTAGAATACTACAGAAGGAAAGAAGCAAATACATGTTTTCAAGACCTTTGCAAAACAGGTGCCAAAATCTGAAAGACCCACACCTTTATATTATAACTTTATAATTATGCCTGTCATTAAAATCCTCATATTACAGCATCCTAATAAGGCACAAAAGTTGTGCCTTATGTTCTTCTATATGATTCACATTCCCGTACCACAACCTCACCACTTTCTACATAAGTTGTATTCCAACAAAAGCTCATTGATTGTCCTGTTGATTCATTTGTATATTTATACTGTGCTATCAGAACATTATCATTCCTTGAACGTCTGTTAAGTGCTTTGACCACAATGACTTGGGGGGTTTTCTTTTTGCCTATTAAAACACACATATTATATAAATTTATATAATATGACCAGACTGCATTTTGAAGTTAAATATATAACATTGTTGAAAATCAATCTCTTGTTTAAAATGAAACTTCTTGGACTCCAAAAAATATGTCATTTTAACTCTAGTGGTTTTGATGGCTACAGGTAATATTTCTTTGTTTCTAAGGTAGGCTATTATGGCCTTACTTTCAACTTGGCTAGTTCCAAGAGATTAACAATCCCATATGTCCCTACTGTGTCACTTGGGCCACAGAAGTTATTCCCCAGCAGACTGTCCTTCCCATTAAATTCGCTTCATACACATATCTGCTAGACACTGTAAGTGAAGTGCATGCGTCTCACTGCATCACATTTGAGATTAGATGCAAGGAAAGACTAAATAGCATTTTACAAAAGATAGTGTTTCTTTGGATTTATTTTAGGCATATCTTCCAAACCTGGAATTAATTATTTAGTTCCAATCTCAATGGAAAGGTGACTTAAACTACCAGGGGAAGTGAGAAGCAACATTATTATAGAGATTTCCAGGAAAAAAAAATAATCCATAGACTTTTTTTCCTAATTTATTCTGAAACCTCATAAAACATTCATGTCAGGATCTTCTCTGATATTGTGATTTAAATTTACTTGCTGATTCTATCTTTCCATAAAGGAAAACATTGCTGCTTTTTTTTAATGCTTATTTTATGTCCTCAGTGCTGGTATTTAGTACACATCATGTCATTTTACAAGTCTGTGAGCCAGGGAGAGTAAGTATGTTCCCAATTTATAACAGAAGGTTAAGTGACCCCTCTGAAGTTCCTAAAGTAGTATATGTTGGAGTTGGAATTTAAATCCAGGTCTGTCTGCTTCTGAAATTTATATTCTTATCCACAGTGCAATAGTAAGTCTCTTCATATCCTGCACCATTCTAACAACTGTCATTTTTACTAAGAAATAACCACGGGCTAAGTCTTCTCAAATTCATGTTAAAAAGACCACTATCCTTGCATTCTCCTCCTCCTCACTCACATCACCCATAAGAAGATGAAGTGAATCAGTACTTCCCCTGTTCACCTATATGGGAAGGAAGCTTCCAGTTCAGGTAAACTCCCACCATCTGTCGATCATGGAAACTGTCACAAAGAGGTTGGTAAATACCTCATTTCTCATCAATTCAGCAAACGGGTGAGACTCTAGGTTTAGCTGCAAGTGGATGTAAAAAGGCCCATGTCTCTTACTTCGGGGCTTCTGTGCCAGACAAGCTTGTATACCTTTTATTGGTATCAGGAGAAACATAGATGAGACAGCATGGGGAACTGCATAGGAGACCTAACACAAGAAATAAGCAGGAGATCAAAGTTCTAACCCCACTGCTTTAAAACCTAGCTGTGTAATGTTGGA